ATATCTCACCGCCGCGCCGCATACTACCGCTGTGCCGCGGGCGCGCGCGCGGTATATCTCACCGCCGCGCCGCATACTACCGCTGTGCCGCGGGCGCGCGCGCGGTATATCTCACCGCCGCGCCGCATACTACCGCTGTGCCGCGGGCGCGCGCGCGGTATATCTCACCGCCGCGCCGCATACTATCGCTGTGCCGCGGGCGCGCGCGCGGTATATATCACCGCCGCGCTGCATACTACCGCTGTGCCGCGGGCGCGCGCGGTATATATCACCGCTGCACCGCCGCGCGCGGACCTCTATCACCGCCGCACCGCAGGCGCGCGCGCGCGGTATATATCACCGCCGCGCCGCATCCTACCGCTGTGCCGCGGGCGCGCGCGGTATATATCACCGCTGCACCGCCGCACCGCCGCGCGCGTGGACCTCTATCACCGCCGCGCGGGCGGACCGCCGCGCCGCATACCACCGCCGCCGGCGTGGACCGCTATCACCGCGGCGCCGCATACCACCGCTGCGCGCGCGGACCGCTATCACCGCGGCGCGGGCGGACCGCCACGCGTTCGCGGGCGCGCGCCCGGTGCATACGCGTTCATGACTTGCTGCGGCGCTGTATCTATCCTTGCGCCTCATGGCCGCTGTTACAATTGCATACATAATGAAGAATGCGTGGATAAGTAGATGACCACTTTTCAGATATGACCACTGTGTGATATACAACAACATAATACAATAATAATACAGTATTACAATAATACCGAATCCAATTTCAATTTTCTGGTGTTCTTTTGTGCAATTTTTATTTTGTAGAGCGAAACTCCCTGTTCCGCGGGGGGGGGGATCGTCTGATACACCCGATCCCCCTGGTTACGGGCCTGGTTTGTACGCTATATCAGCCCTGTATATTTTATATCAAGTTGCATGGCCTGTGTGCCTACTGTCATTTTAAATATCTAAATATCTCGCCATCTACACGCCATCGAGCGGTAATGTAACATATATGTGATCTAGAGAGGTCACCTTTATTGATTTGAAGTCTATTTTCTGCTAGTTTTGGAAATTTATGGTAAATTTATAGCGTCATATATAATTTGTATAGGAACGTACATGTATAAGCTCTCAGGCCTATAGGGCGTAAACTAGCTTTAAACACATCGTTAGCATCAATATGCATATAATATTTACCTATTTAACGTCGACCTATTTTTGTCATATTAACAATACTTACGTTGTCTTTCCGTTCGTGATTGTAAATCTTGGTTTTGTTTTTGTTTCTATTAGTTTAACTCTGGTCACTGGATCTCACAACCTCACTGATCGAGTATATCACAAGGGAAATAAATTAAGTCACCACCAGAACACTCGTCATTCTCATTCACTGCTTTCAAGAACTATGCTACGGTCACTACAACCCCTGGCAAACCTCATGGTCCGCTACACTTAGCTGTAACTGCTGCTGTGCCTGCACGCACGTCTATGTCCCACATGGTACTGCCGGAACGTACCCTGGTACTATCTAATACGCCGGACCGTACCTCGTCTACTCCACTAACGAGTCTAGGGAGTCGCCTACGCCTACTCCCTAACCCTAACACTAACCCTAACCATATAAGATAGTTACCAGGGTACGTTCCGGTATACCGGACCGTACCCAGGGTACATTCCGGCAGTACCATGTGGGACATAGACCCTATGAACATAACTGCTCTTATAGTAAAGTGTATATTATAATAACACAACTTGTATTGCTTTTGGTTTATTTCAGCATCACGGTATACCATGCGAGTCACACCGCTGCATGTGCACTTCCGCCATACGCTGTAGCATTCAAGCATGGATCACTGGCAATGAAGCGGTTATGTGGAGAGCTGAAGCATCCATCAGAGGCTGTCATCAGGACATAAATTCGCTTGCAACAATACAAATCCTGCATTATCACCCAACGTTGCAGGGGCCGGATTCATCAACGTTGCGTAAAGTCTATTGCGTACACGGAGTTTCTACGAAGTACGTACGCAAAGCTCGTAGGTGCGATTCATCAACGCAGCGTAGCACCTGCGTACGCAAATGTTGATGAATTCCAGTGTAAACCCACTACGCCATCGTGGCTGCTGGCTGTGGAGGGGTGTGCCTAGCATAAACCAATCACACTGTGCGACACATACCATAGGAACCGAACAGACGCCTCTCTTGTATTTAACCCATATGGCTCGTCTTAGTCGTCTTCGTCTGTCTACATGACTGCTGGGGGGACTGTAGATAGGTGTCCTCATTTTTTCGTTTTGTATGATTTGCGTGTTCAGAGACACTCACTGAAAGCAGCCACACGTACCGTGCATGCGTGCTGTGTGTACGTAACCACGTTGTTGTGCGTGTGTGCGTGTGTGCGGTGGCACGTACACTTGGTGCCGTTGCGTGCGTCAGTGCCGTGTGCTGTGTGTGTGTTGCAGGTACACCGTTGCGATCGAGTTGCGTGGTGTACGTTACCATCAGGCGTGGCTGTGCTGTGTGTACGTACACTGTCGCGTTTGCGTGCGGTGTGTACTGTACACGTGCGTTGTCTGCGTGTGGTGTGTGCGTGCGTGTACGTATCACGTTGCGTGGCGTGCGATGTGTTGACGATTACACGGGGCATGCGTGCGTGCATTGCACGTACACACGTGCTTGGAGACGACAGAGATGAGCACGCCTCGTCGCACGGTAACACCAGCGTGAGTGGGTGCACGTTACACTGCGTGCGTGTTGCACGTTGTGCGGTGCAGTGTGTGTGCACGTCACTCGCCGTGCGTGCGTGCGTTATGCACGTACACGGGCGCCGTGCGTTGCGTGTGCACGTACACGCGGGGCGTGCGTGCCGTGTGCCGTGTGTGTTGCACGTCACGTACGTTGCGTGTGACGTACACGTGCGTGGCGTTGTGCACGTACACGTGGCGTTGCGCGTGTGGTACGTACACGGGCCGTGCGTAGCGTTGTTGCAGCGTACACGTGCGTGCGTGCTTGTGCGCTGTTACACGTACGATCGTGCGTGCGTGGTGCGTGTGTATACGTACACGGGCGTGCGTGCTCGTGCTGTGCTTGTTGCGTGCGTGGTCACGTCAGCACGTGCTGTGCGTGCGTGATTGAGGAGAGATGTACATACAACGTGCGTTTGGGCGTGCGAGTTGGTGCACGTACAACGTGTCGTTGCGTGCGTGCATGTTGAGTCCTGCGCGTGTGTTTGGCTACGTACACGTGCCGTGGGGTAGGAATATCCGATGGTGCTGTTACGCGTACAATGGCGCGCGGTGCGTCCGGTACGAATGTTCTGGGTTTAGGCGATGCGATAGCAACTGTGTCACGTATCAACCCGTGACGTGTGGTGTGCAGATCGTAGCAGGCGTGCGTGCGGCTTTTTACGTCGTGCACTGGGTACACGTACATGAGTGTTGCGTGTGCACGTACACGTGCGTGCGGGCCTGTCATCGATGAATGTTGTGCAGATGATTGTCCTACGTAGCACGGGGTGCCGTGCGGTGTGCACGACACTGCAGTGCCGTGCGTCGTGACGTTTCACACGGTGCGTTGGTGTTGGCTTCACGTAATCGCCGGTTTCTAACACATTGAACGAGAACTCGCTCTCATACTTAAAACAATGCAAGCTATTGACAAAAGGAAGCGTCAAGGCGGCCGCCTGTCTCGGTGTAATATGGTAATATATTTATTTTATTTCTTAGTTGAGTAGTAATTTGTCTATAGATGTGTTTCTAATAAAATTAATTGTAGTTTGCTGTGGTTATGCTGGAACATACACCCGTCGGGAAAATTTTTCGGAGTGGTTCTTACGGGCACCTTTCGTCAAATGCTCTGTATAAGTTACCGCCAAAGGTTTCACGAATACAATCTTTGAGCTTGATGGAATCGCATCTAAATATCGGCCTCGCTTGCGTACGCGGAAAATGCGTACGCAGAATTTACTAAATGAGCTGTGTTGTAATTGAAAATCGCGAACACTAAGCAAACGTCGATTGGCAGTACACAAGATTTACCGCAAAATATTTTTGGCGTACGCAGCTTGATGAATCTACCCCCAGGTGAGGTAGCTCGTGATATTTGCAAGCAAGTCTGCTGCACGGAGGGCATTAAAATTGCAGTTATGCAGTGTATTTCAATATCATGAGCTACATAATATATACAATAAATTATATATACATGTATAAGGATCGGTTGCAAAAGTGCTACAAGTATCAGACATTATGGAGAAAAGAATACAGTAGCAGCTGAGTTGAATTGATTAATTCATTTCGAAGCACAGCCCAGTTTATTGCATTTTTATTAAAACGCTAATTAGTAATTACAGTACGATTGAATTTCACTCCAGACCGGCATTTCCATGGCTAAACATTTTTCAGACCAATTTAGCCAAATTGTAAACTTTTTTCGTCGAGCTCAAACCCTGCAGTAGAGAATAAAAACAAATTTAATTGATTTGTCGAAATGTCGGTTTACTACACTAATCACTAATTACACATAGTTTATGTATATACGTATATATTATATATATATATATATATATATATATATATTATAAAAAAATAGCAACAGAGCCTCAGCATCCTGGAATGACAAACATGTACAGATATCGACAGACACACTGAATGAGAGATGCAACAGATGAGTGTGCGAAATGGTCAGACAGAGAGACCGGCAAATCGATGTGGCATTTTTAATCAAAAGGACGGGAGGCAGCAGAGCGAGTGACTACAGCAACATATGCGCCTGCGAAATCTTGAACACTTAACGTACCATCTGCTCTTGCTAAGTACTGCTTCTTAATGTGCTTTTGCTCTGTGCATTTTTCCACTTTATCTAGTTGAAATACAAGAGAAGTGATGCAATCGGGGGAGGCGTCCAGGCCTCCAGGGTTTCCTGCAATTGGGAATGGTTAATTTGCTCAGTTCTATACATGTATTCAATTGAATAAAGTTGCTATTTATTGAACTAAATCTATTAGTGTAACCCACGAAATGACACTTGGTCCCATCTCTACTTCCACGATTAAGAGTATTTTTCACCACTACTGCATTAATCAGATAGAGACGAGGCAGATGGTTGGACGGGATATGGAAATTAAAAGTGAAAGGCAGCAACGAAGAAGGAGGAGGCTGGGAGGGGGATAGGATCACATGATAATGAGAATGTACCATTGTATGAGCAGTTAAACCTACAAATTTGTATATTTTAATAGTTAGCGCTGATAGTAGTATAATTGTTAGTAACAGCAAGGCATAGCAAAACAAGGACTACAATGTAAATAAGTGGGCTAGTCATGCTTTTTGTAAATTGTATATATATATATATCCTTGGTAGTTATCCAGTTTTATGAATTCAGAATGTAGGGCCTATTGTAAAGGTATGCTATGTATTGTATAAAATTATGATGGATAATTGCATAAATAGTAAATAAATGAATAAAAAAATAAATAAAAATGACTAAAATTGACGCTATAAACTTTCGATGGAATCAAAAACGAAAGATAGATACTGTCGCAGGCAGTAATTTCGATTGCATATGATATTACTGCCCACTGGGTGCACAGGCACTTGAACCATTTCAATAAAATATAATGCTAAATAAATACGAAATCTATTTACTACCAAATTCTTAATGTTTCTATAGGCCTACTCTCTTTCACCTATTATTGCCTACAGTTTCCTGTAAATTCCGTCCAAATCCTCTATGTAGGCCTTACACACGCTACCGGCCGCCATGGCCGGTACATTAAGAATTATATATTAACATTAAGAAACAATTTGGTAGTTGGTGAATTTGGTAGTAAATAAATTTCGTATTTATTTAGCATTGTATTTTATTAAAATGCTTCAAGTGCCTGTGACTGGGTGTATTATGATTATGGTAGTCTACAGACTAGCCTACAGTCTACAGACTGCAACTTTAAACTTACAACTATAGACTATACGTATAGTCTATACCAATCACTAAGTCAGTACAAACGTGGTGTTCTATTATAATATAACGATTAAATACTATTTAAGAAAATAAAACAGTTTTATACAGCCAGAAATAACTATGTCTTGAGTTTTATACGTTATGATTTAACTGATTTAATTAAATTTATGCGCTACAAACGTAGGCATGTGCACACAAACTTCACTGCAGCTCGAACTCTACAACCGACACTCAATGATTCATTATCCTTTAACATTTATGTTAATTACGCTATACTTGTGCTTATATGCTAATGAAACATGCCTAAAGGCCCGCTTATGTCGGGCTTACGACCTAGTCGCCGACAAGATTTGAATATCGTATGTCAAAAACCGGCCAGATCGCTGATAAAATCATCGGCGACCAAACTCGACATGAGTTCTCTTACGATCGAAAATACGGTCGCCGACTGCGATTGCAGGAATAGAACATGTTCTATTTCTATGCGGCTGTCGGCGACAAATCGTGAGTGGCAGCCAATCACCGCAGTGTGTCAAGTCAAATGATTATCAAAAGTCACGTGATTAATAAAATGGCAGCCTACACAGCACTCGTCACCAGTTTACAAGGAGGGATTATTGCACAAACCCTTTCTCAAATATATATTAAGTTTTCCGTATATCACATAAAAAAATGTTCTGCATATGATTATAACAATGTTCAGAAAATTGAGGATAGATTTACGAAGTTACATGATGTTTACTGGTAAGCGCCATTTTGTTGGTCACGTACGTGACTCGTTTTATGTAGACTGGTCCCGGCGTCAAGCTTGCTCTGTTTGTGCTAAAGAACTGCTTGTGCTAGTACAAATACTGGGGCCGCGAACCCGTCTACGTTCCATGCGGGAACGCTACGATGTAATCGGCGATGTGCAGCGTAGTCACTTCAAGTCGACATGAGTGTTGCTACACTGCTAATCGGCGCTAAAGTAGTCGCCGATAGTCAAATCGTAGGCCGACCTGAGCGAGCCTTTAGCGACGCAGCACACTCGCAACAGCGAGTGGGCGGAGCGGCTAGTTCTACATCAGTTTTTGTGAAAGCAAGTTGATACACAGTGACACAACAGTGGTAGTAATAAAGGGGTAGTTTTTGTTAATGTGCGTTCATGCTAATTTCAGTTTTTACTGACTCTGTCCCAAGCGCCTGTGCCTGTGGTTGGGAGGGGACATGTCACTTAATTGACTCATCTCTTGAGCTTTCTCACTCTACAAAATAGCAATGCCATCGTAAGTGGCTGTGCCTTTACAAAATTCGAGTCTCCGTCAGCTGTCACCAACGAATTGCATCCGTCCTACTCGCAGCCTCTAAGACATTAGAAACTAACCACAATAATAAAAAAAAGCAGAATGTAAGCTTCCATTTTCTACTGTCATGCGCGCCACCTAACGCGCATTATAACAAACAATTCGCCAGAATATTTATTCGTCTATAGACTGTACCTCTGTCATTGCATTTCATCACATTGGCTAAATTCTACTACATGTCGCGGTATGTTGAGTGAAACATGCCCATCTAGAAATCTCGTGAAACCGCGGGTACTGTCTGTCTTCGAGATGTTCGTTATTCCTTTATGAGAAGGGGAAGCGCGCTAACCGGCTAAAATTTAGACGCTTTTTGGACGCGCAACATCGAACTTTTGCCGTAATATTATAGTGTACTACTACTACTACTAACTAAATCGTGGTTGAGCGTTGAAATCGTGAGAAACAGCATAGATATAGAAGAAGAGTCAAAAAAAGGTGAGTACCCTCGGTTAAAAGACGTTTTGTCCAGCCTCTCTGACAACAAATGACAGATTTCTTGCTAGAAATTATTAGACAACACCCTCAACAACACCCCTCTCGATGGGGCTACCCCCACATTTACGAAAATGACATAGGTATCAATCTCGCCATGCTCTCTATCCTTGAATCGTAGGGATTGAATCACGGTACATACCGTGGGTTTCTGACCTATTTCCTATTTTTAAAATGAAAATAGAAAATAGGAAATGGGTTTCTGATCCGTTTCCTATTTTAAAAGTCTAAATAGGAAATGGGAAAAGGAAAAGGAAGGGGGCACGTGTGTGTACCCGCGTGTACGTGCGTGTACGTGCGTGTACGTGCGTTTATCTGCGTGTACGTGCGTGTACCCGCGTGAACGTGCGTGTACCTGCGTGTGCACGCGTGTGCACGCGTGTACCCGCGTGAACGTGTACGTGCGTGTACCCGCGCGTACGTGCGTGTATCTGCGTGCACGTGCATGTACCCGCGTGTACGTGCGTGTATCTGCGGGTACACGGAGATACACGCACGTGCACGCGAGTACACGCACGTACACGCGGGTACACGCGGGTACACGCACGTACACGCAGATACACGCACGTACACGCGGGTACACGCACGTACACGCGGGTACACGCACGTGCACGCGGGTACACGCACGTACCACTTCCTTTTCCTTTTCCCATTTCCTATTTAGACTTTTAAAATAGGAAACGGATCAGAAACCCATTTCCCATTTCCTATTTAGACTTTTAAAATAGGAAACGGATCAGAAACCCATTTCCTATTTTCTATTTTCTTTAAAAAAATTGGAAATAGGTCAGAAACCCATTTCCTATTTGCAACGTCAAATGGAAAAACAAACTAACGGTATATATACCGTGATTGAATCAGCTCTAGTAACTATAGTTACTAGAGCTAGGTAGGTATGTGCCGCGGGAGAGACCCCCAGTTTCAACCCTAAACTTTCCGTTCCAGTGCATCGCATTTTTAAGAATATCTCGTTCCAGAGCATCACAAGTTTAGTTACCATGCAGATCTTACAATTTTGCTGTTCCGGAGACCCAAGTTTTTAACATTTACATTCCAGTGCATCGTACTTCATAATATGTTGAAGCTGGGCCGTGAAGGCATGCATGCAACGCATGCGCATATGGATGGATGGATGGTCAGCTCATTCTCCCATTCAACAAACATTAGTTCCAGAAACCCCCATTTTCAGGTCTGAGTTAGTTCCAGAGCTACCAATTTTTGACTTCGCAGTGGCACATACCTACCCGGTACCATAATGTGGGGTGAGTGCCCCCCAGGGCCTGACCCTATAACCCTAATCCCTACCCTCAAATCCTAATCACAAACTCTAACCCTAATCGCAACCCCTAAGGCCTAACCTACTGCCTAACCCAGTGGTTCTTAACATTTTTTGAGTCATCGACCCCTTTGAGAATGTGGTGAAAGCTACGGACACCTCCCCAGAAAAAATGCACATAAGCACATGAACACAAAATTTTGCATACGCTGGGCCCGGGGGGGCACTCGCCTCGGAACTGGGTAGGGGTGTGCCTCCGGGACTTTGAAAATCTGACCCTGTCAGCTGTCGCAAACCGCTTTGCGCCCTAAAATACACCCTGTCCCAATATACTGCACAAAAAAGTATACCCTGTTGCAATATTGCACATTTCGATAATGTCCTGTCCTGTCAATATAGGCGATATTGGTCCAATATCGGCCTTGTGATATTGGCCCAATATTGTTTTGCTAATATTGGGCCGATATTGGACCAATATCTGCCTATATTTGTCCAATATTGGCCTGGTGATATTGGCCCAATATTGTTTTGCCAATATTGGTCCAATATCAGCTTGATGGGTGTGTATCTAGATAACCCTGTGCCTTTAATGATGCTCGGAAAATATACCCTGTGCCAATAATGATGTTCGGAAAATATACCCTGTCCAGCGGCACGTCCCCAGTACCTTTAACAATGGGAGTGCCCCCCCAGGACGCTGGGGTTCATAGACCGCCTGAAGCCCATCCACGGACACCTTTGGGGTCCGTGGACCACAGGTTAAGAACCACTGCCCTAACCCTTGCCATATAGCTCCAGTAACTACTGCTACTGTTTGCTGCTGGTGCTGCTGCTGCTGCTGTTGTTATTGTTGTTGTTGCTGTTGCTGTTGCTGCTGCTGCTGACGATGATGTTACTGTTACCTCGTGACCCGCCTGCTACGCCCAAAGGATCCGGTATCCAATCGCGTTGAGATAACATGCATCAAGCGTGCACGCTGATACATCAACACGTACCGCTGCGCGTGTGCGAGAAGCGCTTTAATAAGAGGGTTATATGATCGTTTCGAGCGAGACATCAAAACAATTCAGGTAGGTGACGAGCGTTTTTGGTATAATCCACGGTTATCCAGAGCAAGTCGGAATTCGCTTGATATTGGCAAGCGTTCTACGACAATTCCATGAAAATTATCTCCTGTGATGCATTCCGTATTAAGCAATGGCGCCAAGGCGTAATATGCGTGCGTGACGTACCACGTCGACAGTCTTGAGATTTGCAGTTTACCCTAGCGGAATATGGGGGTAAAACCTAACCGATACCTTACCTCAGGCAGGATAGAGCAGTGTCACCGAGCGGCAGGAGGCAGTTAAACGACACACGATACACTTATGCATGCGTACCGAGGCCGAGATGATAATGCGCACAAAAGTTCTTTTACAGTGGGGGGAGGAAGACGAGATACCATACGCAAAGCTCCGTGTGAACGCCAGGCAGTAGGACTCGTTCCCAGGGGGATCTTTAAAATTGTCTCATATCTATTTCAGGACTGTTGCTAGCCACGCTGTGTTGGCACATAATGAGACCTCGACAGCTGCTGGATTCTACACTCAGCCAACGAGCGGGGCTCTGTTGGTCAAGGAGAAAGCCATGTTGACCGTGTCGCAAAACACCTGGTTAATGCCTTCTCCGTAAACACCTCCGCCTTAAACCTCTACCTTATCCGACATGCATGTGAGATTAACCGTCTACAAAAACGCCTATTTCCCCACATAAGGGTTATGCCTACTTATCCTGCTTGGCAGTGGCTGAGAAAGAATTCGCGCTCATCTGTATAAAAATGCTTCAAACATCATTTACGATGGTTTCTCGTAGATATGGAGGCGTTGACGCGCACGCTTGTGCATGCGGTTGCATTCGTTTACGGACGACGGCCAAGCGCATCCTTGTTTGCATGGCGGTGCGTAAATTAGCAAAATGTTGATAGGTAGCGCTACGGAGCGACATCGAATAAACTTCAGGAACAAAATTAATGCGTATGCAGATTTCCCATCCTATCTTTCGGCCTATATGGTGACAGCATAACAAATCATAAAATTTAACTCGTTATAAATACTGAGTTAAATACTAAAACTGTTGAAAGAAGTAGATGGATACACAGTAATTTTATCGCCGATCGAGTAAATACATAACCTGGCGAATTGGATTATTTGTAGGGTTTACCCTTGACGGAATTTTAATATTTAACTCGGATTATATTTAGCCATAAATGCGCTCACACTTGCATTTGATCAGCTTACAATCAACCATAGGATGCAATAACAAGAGCGGTAGATACTCTAGCTTGGGGTAGATTATCGACAAGATCTGATACCACCCCATAAACTTTTGTAAATGTTAACGGACATTAAATTGCTTTTACCCCCACTCTCCAGTTTCCACATACGCCAACGGAGTCCCTCTTAAATATTAGGGGATAATAGAGGCAGTGTTATTCCTTCGCCGCATGGTTTTCAAGTACTTGCGTCAGTACCGCTAAGACAAAGGGAATCCTTATTTGATATATTGAAATTCTAACCCTTTGTTTATTTACCAGGCCTCAAATTCATACTAGCGCCGGGCACTATAACATTGCACCTAAATACCTTGGGGTTACAACCTGATCATGATTATTACATTAGAGCCGGATAACCATGAAACCCTTATGGTGTTTGCATGTGATCATGATTTTTGCCCATTAAACACACCAGTGCTACCATCCTCGGGAGGGTTAATTCGTGTGGATGGCGCTTTTCCGCCAATCTAACCCACAGAATAGATATCAAATGTGAAAAGCTCGTACAGTTATTTTCGGCTATGACCTCGGCCTGGAGGCTCATTATTTGTCGCGATGGAGTCTGGAGGGGCTAATAACCACGCCGTTTCCGATTAAATGTCACATCGTCATGTTATGACTGGGATACGGAAGCCCCGCGTGTAAGGAGCACCTCATTGCCAACCAGCAGGTGATAACATTTGAGTCAGGCTCGTGTAAAGCTCCTTCCATTATATTTCACATTGACCCTCATGATGTGCACAATCAAACCAGTGAGATTGTGCCGCCGTTCGTTTCAGCTTAGGAGTTCTGGCCTGACATTCGCAAGATATGGCCAACCATTACGTTAACACGGTGGGAGACCCGAGAGTAATGCACGAGCATAATGCCTCGTATACATACGGGTACCAAGCTTTATACCCATTCGAATTCGAAGTTGCTGTCAGAGTTAGAGGATTCCTGTTAGCACAAAGAATCAGTCACTATCG